TGCAGCAACACGTAATGCTGCACACGTACAACATCTACATCAACATCAACATAATCATCAACAGCAGCAGCAGCAGCTGCAGCAGCAACAACAAATGGTGCGGCAGGCTCTTCAGCAGCAGATAGCCCACTTACAGGCGCAACAGCAGTTACAGCAGCTGCAACATCAACAACCGGAGCAGCTACTGCCGTCGGCGATTCCGCCAGTATTGCAGCAGCTACAGCAGCACGGTCCGGGGCTACAGAAGCAGCAGCAGCAGCTACATCCAGGACCGGTTCAGGAACAGGAATGGCAGAGCGGGTCTCAGCCGCCGCCGCCGCCGCCGCCGCCGCTTCTGTCGTCGCCGCCGCCGCCGCCGTTGCCCCTGCCGCTGCCCCTGCCCCTGCCGCCGCTCCACCAGCAGCAACAGCAGCAGCAGCAGGAGCAGCAGGAGCTCAATAACACCTTTGCCGCCGCCGTGGCGGCGGCGGGCGGCAGTCACAACGGCGACGTCGGTACTCCAAAGCCCAGCTCCTTCACCTCCGCTGCTTCCGCTTTCTCTGCTGCAGGCGGCCCCTCCCCCTCCGCGTCCTCCCTTAGCAGCAGCGCACATCAGCTGACCGCCCAACTAAACCCCCCGCCAGCGGGCCAGCAAGCCGTTACCTCGAGATACGCAGCCGGGGCTACACCGGCACCGGGCAATGGCGGCGATGGCATTGGTGGCGGCGGCGTCGCGGGTATTGCAGCCCCTGTCGTACTCCCCGGATCGCCGATCATCATTCCTAAGACCGGCAGCGGTCAGGCGCCGTCTCCCGTACGTTCGGAGTACGACAGCCCCGGGGAACACCACCATTTCAGCGGGTCGTGCAGCGACACGGCGGCGGTCGCGGAGCGGCTCACCTCCGTTGGCGGCAGCAGTGGTGGCGCCGCTGCCGCCGCGGCGGCTACCACTGCCGCCGCCGCCGGTGTCTTGTATGCTGCGCAGGAAGCCGCTGACAAACAGCAGTTGGTTGGCGCCTCCTCCGGAAGCGCACGGGGGCCGGGGGGCGAGGGATTGAATGGCGGCCGAACCTGTGCCGACGGGGTTGGCGCGGCGTGACGGAATAGAGCACTGCCCTACCCTACCCTACCCTACCCTACACTGTACGACGCTACTCGGCACGTTATGGGCACGGTATACACCTTCTTGTTGCAACGGCTCCGCGCCGCCTTTCGCCGTGCCGCCATGCAACGCAGCGAAGGTCTGCAGCCACTGGTGGTTTCTTTGCTGAGCATGAAGAACTTTGTAGATGGTATTGTATTCGGACGTCATGGCGACGTGGCGCCTTGGAGTGATCTTGCTTGCTTTTGGAAATCGTTATGTTATTAAGCTCCCGTGAATCCTGAGAGCTTGAGAGCGCATGTTTACTGATTATATGGCAAAAGTGCACAGTGCTTTTGTGGCCATGGCTGTGGCCATGGCTGTGGCCATGGCTGTTTTCACCGCGTGCGTGTGTATGTATGTATGTATGTATGTATGTATGTATGTATGTATGTATGTATGTATGTATGTATGTATGTATGTGTGTGTGTGTTGTTGCCGCTCTGCGTGTCCTGCGCGGTGGATGTGCCGCTGTCCTGGGCCCCAACCTCAAATGTGAACTGCCGTGATCCCCCCTTGTCGTTGTGAGCTGTTGTACCCTTGAGGTGTTAAAACCGCATGTTTAAACCATGTGTGCGTCGGTCTGTAAGTATGTCTGTGTCTGTGTAGCTCTTTGTGGCTGTATAAATGCAGATTTGTACGTACGTATGTATGTATGTACGTACGTGTGAGGTCTTGGGTGGGCAGGCTAGAGATCTGCCATCTGCCATGTCGCATCGCGTCATGCGGTTTCATGTCCGCAGCCCGCAGCCCCCACCCTGGGGCGGTGGAGGAGAAGGGCGAGGAGGGGGAGAGGGAAGGGGAGGGGGAGGAGGAGGGGGAGGAGAAGGAGAAGGAGGAGCGCATGTACCTCCGGGAGCTCAGGAGGCGGGTGCGGGTGAGGGGGTCATCCGTTCTCTTGTGTGGGATTAGGTACGGGCTTTAAAAAGCTTTTGGCGACACGACCTTTTTTTAGAGCTGTACGATGGTGGTCTTGTTGGTGGTGGTTATGGTGGTGATGATACCCATTGTGAGTGTATGTGGGGGGCTGGAGGCGGGGATAGGTGAAGGGGGGCACGAGTAGCGCAGCCGAGGAATGGGGGGAAAGGATTTTTCGGTGGATGGTTGACTGAAGTACATACATATACATGCATACGTATCTTTATATGCATATACATACTTACAGGTATGTCTACGTATGGAATATTCTGCGGTGTCGTTGGTTCGAGCAACGCGCACACGCGCACGGGGTTCGCACTGAGGTGATGATCACCAGTCGCGGGTTGATTGATGTGTACATCCGGATAACAGAGACAGAAAAAGAAAGGGAGGGGCGACCGTCCCCTCCCGTTGGACTGCTTTGTGGGGGGTATACACGACCCGGGGGTTGGGGGTGACCTGCTTCCCTTTCATCTTTTCCATTTCCCCGCAACACCGCTGCCCACTTGCTCCTCTTCCCTCCAGCGGTGCCTGTCTTTGTTGCTGTTTTGTGAAGGAGAGCGTGCGGGTTGGGGCCTGGAACTACGGGCTGCGAACGGAACTGTTAGCGTGGCCGGTGTGTGTGTGTGCGTATGTATGTATGTATGTATGTATCTACGTATTATGTGGTGTGTGTGTCTTCATGTGTCGTGTCGTACTGTGTATTGTCCCCGAGAGACACCGAACGGACCTGAGTTTTCTATGCGGAGAAGTACGGCACGGTTGCTGCCGTACGGCTTTATTGGTTGTTGGAGGGAGAGCCTGAGTTAATGAGGTTGTTGGTTGCTTTGCCGTAAGAAAGCAGTGCATATGTCCATATGTGGGTGTCCATATGTGGATGTGGGTGTGGAGGTAGGGTGGTGCGGCATCAGGTCGGGTGGGGTGGGGCGTTGCAGCTTTGATGTGCCGGGGTGGGTACTGGTTGGCTTTTCTGTTTCTTGATGATCGGGGTGATCGGGCACCTGCTGGTTCACGGATGCGCGAGGGACTGATGTGGCAGCGAGAAGTGTCCCGCCATTTGGAAATACATACATACGTGCGTACGTGGGGGATCATTTCATACATACAAATTCCAGTATGCGGTCAAGAAGTGCTAGAAGGGTCGATGCATGCATGCATGCATGTATGTATGTATGCATGTAGCCCCGCCTGCAAGTCGGTCTGTAGGGGGTAGTGGGGCTCCTGACCTCCGCCTTGTGTTGTCGACATACACACATGTGTTGTGTTATGCCATGTCACATGATGATGGTAGTGGTGGTGGTAATGGAGGTGGTGGAGGTGGTGGTGGGAGGAGCTCCCCATATGAAGAGAGAGCCCGGGACCGGACAATGTTGTGTATGGGTCTAGGTGAGCCGAAGGCCCTTAGACCTCATATGTGTGTGTATTCCGATGACCCCTACCGGCCTCGTTACGGTGTTGTCTATGAGGCGAGGCGGGCGGAGCAGGGAGGTAGGTTTACTTAGGGATGGAACAACCGAGCAAGCGCACGCCAGAATACATCGTATCACCTTCTTTGGCATCACGTCATGTCAGACAAACCGAGTAGAGTACTCGTCGGGCCGGGCAATGCGGTGGGTATATGTGGTGGGCGGTGGTATATTTCTGGCCTGGGGAATTAGCTCCGGGGTCCTCCTCTCTGAGCGAGTGTGGATACGCCGCGAAACACGAATAGAAGGATAAAGAAGGGCAGCATGCTGGTAATGATGTGTGTGTGTGTGTGTGCGTGTGTGTGTGTGTGTGTGTCTATGTGTGTGAGTGAGAGAGGTGGGGCGGGAAAGGGCGACGAGGGAAGCTCGAGAGACAACAGAAACAGTCGCGAAAGGCATTTGTTTGTTAAATATATAGTTGTTATTGCCGCGCGTGTGTGCAGTTTGGTGTTATTCAGTTGTATTGTAGTGTTTGCTTTCTTCTCCTTGTTTTAGGGGTTATCGTTCCTGCGTGCGACATCTGCTTTCATTTAACCCACCATCATCCTTTCACAACGGACGCACAGGGACCCCACCGCGGTGTGGTGTGGTGTGGTGTGACGCGGCGGGCCGCTGTCCCCCTGGAGCTGTTGGTCGTGTGTGTTTATCTGTGTGTATCCCAGGTGGCGGTGCAGACGAGTGAGCGAGACGAGTGCAGACGAGTGAAGCGTATGTATGTAATTAAGTATTATGTATGTATGTATGTGGGTTGGAAATGTGTTTTATTGTTACTGTGCTAGAGGTGATGTCGCCACTGGAGGGCACCGAAGCCCGGGAGGGGTTCTTTTTCAGGGCACATCGCGTGTGGGGTGGTATTTCAGATGTCTGCAGTCGGGCCGCGGCGTCCGGGGAGTGCTATGGCCGGGAGTGAGGGTGGTGGGTGAAGTGCGGTTAGAAGCTAGGGCCTGAGAGCTGCTGACCTCAGCAGCGGCGATCCGCGTCGCGGAGCTCGCGAAGGGCCTGGCTAGGTGTCTGGGGAGGCGCTGGTGGGGAGCGACATGATGGATCGAGAAGTATGATAGCGGTGTGGATTGTACTGCTGTTGGCGGTGGTGATACTGTTTTTGCTGTTGTTGGTGGTGGTGGTACTGGTGGTAATGATATTGGTGGTGGTACTGGTACTGGTGGGAATGGGGTCATTTTTATGCTGAGATGCGACCCGACCCCGGGGAGTGAGGGCCGCGTGGGGGCTACAGCTGTAGCTGAAGGATTAATCGGGATAGCGATTAAATGCATGTCTGGATGGGTGTGGGGCCGCGCGCTCGCGCGCGCCGTATCCCGCGAGCTGACCAGCGGGAGCGAAAGGCTTGTTTCCTTGGCTTTTGGAAGGAGGTGCGGACCGGGTGCCGGTGGAGGAGGACGGCCTTGGGGAGCTGTGTGTGATATGTGATGCACGAGTGCTAAGAATTTACTTTCATCGACCTGGTTAACACCTGGACGCCTGGAGGGGACCGTAGGTGGTGTCTTGTGCTGTTCATGATGTAGGTGGTGTGCGCGCATGTAGGGGGCGGCCAGGAGGCGGGCGCTGCTCATCTGCCTCTCTGCCCTGCCTCTTTGGGAGCTGGTCGGGACATGTTAGCGGTCACGAGGCCTCCATGCTCCGGGAGTTCCCGGTGTGCTGCATCCGTCCATCCATCCATCCATCCCGGAAGAGTTAAAATGCACTCCTTCTTCCGCCGCCTGTTGAGTTGGTCCCTCCGGTAGGTGAAGCTGGTGACCGCATATGACCTGGGGCTGCGGATGGAGCCAAATCATCCCTCTCTTACTAATTGCTTCATCGCGCAGGTCGCCGCGATTTGATCAAAGATAGAGCGGTGAACACGTCTTGTTCGGTAGAGTCGGCGAGATGCAGGAAAGGAACGTTGGTATGTGGAAAAGCGACTCAGAAGTACCTTTGCTGCTGAGCGGGATGAAAGAAATGACTTCAACGAGTGTGTAGGGAGGCCAGGAAAGACCCTCTAGCCCGGGCTTGAACTTCATAAAGCCTCGCATCTTGTCACAGACCTTGTCCGACGAACCAGAAACATAAAAGCTCAGAGGAGCTGGTCTGTGCACAGTTTGGGTGGGTCGCTAAATAACCCGCAAAACAATCCGACCGGCAGCAGGCAATGATTTGATGTGGAGTACAAGACGTACGGCCGGTTTTGGCGGGTTATGACCCTGGGCACGTATGATTTATCGCGCCAACCCGAAACAGGTCACGTCTGAGAAGTTACTAGTTTTGTAGCTTTGATGCGGCAAAAGCGAAGCGAATATAGCCCCTAAGCTAAGTTATTGAACGGTAGCCGCACGCCAATTTTCGAATCTTATTACTTCAGCTGATATCTCCATAGCTCCAGCATTCTCCCTACACCATTGCAGCTTAATATTGCTCTCACTTCTATTTCCAAGATGTTACCGACTACTTTCAAGACTCGTCGACACTCTACCACAACGATTAGACATCCCCGAGGACCGCCTCTCTCCAAGGTATACCAGGAGCAGCCCCAGCATAAACGAAGTATGACGGGTAAGAAGGCAAACACGACGGGGGACAATTTGGCCAACACATTAGCCTTCGAAGCAGCCGGCGAGGGGGGTTCGGGTCAATTGTCGTCCGCTACTCAACGCGATCTAGAAGCCCCTGAGGATTTGATGAGCGGGAACGTCGACCAGGTCACCCTGCAGCAGCTGTTGCTGGGTGTCCTGTCAGCGGCGCAGGCCAAAGCCCAGAAAGCGCCAGCAAGGGATCCCCAGACAGCACCATCGAAGCCTCGTGACTGCCCTCCGGACGTGGTCATCGTAAAAGACATCAACTCCATGCCATCTGCAAGAGAAAAGTTCACCGCGATAAGGACCGACGTCCAGGCGAACGATGCCCCAAAGCTCACAGCCTCCCATGTGAGCAGCTTGATGAAGGAACGCTCATGCTCCTCGAGATTGCCACCACCGCGCTGGAGGCAAATGAACCCAGCTGGCCACCGTGGGAGGGTGCCTGAAGATCGCTCACCGCCGCCTGAAGTGCTACTCCGTGGCTCTGGCCAAGGCGGGCCCAGGAGCGACACGGCCCCTACGAGATCTTGCATGGCAGGTGGCGCAACTTCATGGCTCGTGGGGGGCTGTTAGCTTTGGGGCGTCTTTTGCTTGGACGGTCCTTATTGCGGCGAGCTGTTCTCTTGTGGATGGCAGGGTGCTGATGTCTTTGACGATGACTACTTCCGGAGAGCGGTCCCGAGGCTTCGATGGTGCTGTCCGGGGATCCTAGCTGACACTTTCTGGGCGTTAGCCTGCATGGCTGAGAGGACACCCAGCAACAGCTGCTGCAGAGTGGCCTGGTCGACGTTCCGCTCGAGAGCTCCTCGGCGGCTTCTAGGTCGTGTTGAGTGGCTGGCGGCAATTGGCCCGATCCCCCGTCGCCGGCTGCTTCGGTGGCTCCTGTGTTGACCAAATTGTCTCCCGTTGTCTTTGCCTTCTTACCCGTATAGTCATTTGTGTGTGTGTGTTACATGGTTGGGGGTGCGTGACCCCATACCTGTAAGACTACCCATACGAGCCGAAGGCCCAAGGGCAATACCACAACGCCTAAAAGCCACGGAGGAAAGGAAAACACCGCACATCAGCCCAGACTAGCGTCCGGTAATTGAGTCATAGTCATTTGTGCTGAGATTGCTCCTGGTATTTTCTTGGAGAGAGGCGCTCCGCGGCGATGTCTAATCGTTTCGTAGGACGTCGACGAGTCTTGAAAGTAGTCGGTAAGGTCTTGGAATTAGAAGTGAGAGCAGCAATAAGCTCCAATAGTTTATATGCAGGGTATCGGTCATGATTGCGGGTTTCCTGGGGTTCTACGGCCTAGCCCAGATTTCCGTCAAGCACGATCTGCTCACCCTGCACGACACTCAGATGGCGATTACACTGCCCAGGTCCAAAACGGGCCAGGAGGGGAAAGGGCAGACCGCGCGGATCGCACGTGTAGGGGGCGTGGCTTGCCTAGTGGACTTGACAGATAGGCTGCTGTGGTCTGGTAACTCCACCCTTGTCCCCAGCTTCCCCGCGGAGGGTGTGTGTCCGCTGCTGTGCAGGGTAAAGGTGAGCGGCAGAGGACCGGCTATGTTCAGTTATCTATCAGCAGCCTCAGCTACACCTCATTCCAGGAGGCGCTCGCGGCCATGTGCTGCGCCGTGGGCATCAAGCGTGGAATCATGCCACACTCCATGCACATCGGGGGAAGCAGTGCAGCAGCGGCCAGAGGGGTACTTGAAGAGACCCGCTTGAAGGGATGATGCCGCACTGGAAACTACGCGCAACCTGGGCCTCGCCTGAGCTATGGGCCGCCTGGGGGCGCCTCCTACTGTCTTTGCTCTCTGCAATAGAGTAAGGCCCTTGCTTGGCAGCCCTGGTTCCGCTTCACCCTGTCCTATCCGGCAGCCCGAACACAACCGTACAGCAAGGCATGAAGGCTATAGGATAGATGCGGCAGAAGCGAAGCGAGTATAGCCTCTAAGCTGAGTTATGCATGGCAGCCGTTCGGCTTGCCAATTTTCAAATTTTGTTACTTCAGCTGATATCTCTTTACTTCTGCCTACACTACTGGAGCTTTTTGTTGCTCTCACTTCCCTCCCTCACGCCCTCAGTGTCCCTCGTTTACAAGCGGCAGGCTCGGCCCAGTTGGAGACCTGGTGATTGTGCAGCCCACTCGGAACGCCAGACGCATCAGTGTACAACGATCACTGCACGGCCAAAGCACCAGTTTCGTTGCACGCTAGGAATGTTGCCGGGCCAGCCCCGCTGGCCAGGGCACGGTTCGTACGTCGCTGACGGTTCAGGTTTGCCCTCGGGGCGGGTGTCAAACGGACGCAGTCATTAATGCTGCGTTTCGTCGTCTAGTGCTGTGTGTCAGCTTTTTCGGCCGTGCCGGTGTGGCCGCGCTGGACAGCGCTGCCTTTGCTTTGCAGTGGTGTAAGGCCCTTGCTTGGCAGCCCCGGTTCCGCCTCACCCTGTCCTATCCGACACCTTGAACACAACCGAACAGCAAGCCATGAAGGCTACAGGACATGAGCGGTTTTCCTAAAGCATACGATACTCTGCCAGACATTTGCAAGGATGTGCAAAACGTGACGCAGGCCTCTCCTTCCCCCACTCCCCTCCCCTTTTTTTACTTTGAGCGGAATGGCCCCACATCCTGAGGGGAATCGGACTGTGTCACGGGTGGTAATGCGGCCACCGCACCCAACCCCTATTTTTTTTGTGAAGAACTGCGACCCACGGTTCACGCATAAATCGCAAGCTCACTGCGCTGTCGCCGTAAACACGCAACCGCATCACACAAAAGCCAAGCAGATAGTTTGGCCTGGAACCGCTGCTGTGGCGGGCAGGCTATATCCTAACCAATCCCAACCATCCTTGAAGGCTGGTCCAAGCTGGACGGCGCTTCAAACTTAGGCACGGAGCACCGGCTGTTAAGGCGGGTTTCGGCGCGCCATATCGCACACACACGTCCTCCCCGGGATCCTGCCGCACCTTCTAGGTCTTTGTGCTGCAATAGCGGTCTCATGCTAACTTTTCGCGAAGCATTCGCCCAATACCGTTCGCCTACACAGAAGGTCTAAAACGAATCGCTCTATAATCGCCACGTTTTTGTCTAAATGGGAATTTCAACATGTGTAACAAGCAGCCGACGCCGCACTTGGGCCTTGGCCAGTAGAGGGCGTAGGCTGCCCATTGCGTAAGGCACCACACCACAGCCCAGCGCACCTCGCAGAGCGCCCACTCTGCAGTCGTTCCCACCATTCACCACATCACACGGACCACTACGATGGTCCAGCATTACTACCAACCCCACAGCACGCATCCCTGCAAGCATCATAATACCGTTCGTCAAGCAAAAGCTGTGCCAGCACGGCTCCCCATCAACAGCGAACCCACACCCACCTTCCGCAGCCGACACATCCTCATGTGCACAACCCATCATACCACAGAATCTCGACGACCGTCTGGTCCCAACTTACTCAAGCTAGTAAAATATACACGAGCTTCGTGCGAAACAGCGGTTTGTTCTATCCTCCTATTTCCCCTATCAGCTGCTTGCAGTGCAGTGCAGCTGCAGGCGCTTCCGTCCATGTACAGCCGGACCATCCGGGCACCCACAGCGGCCCGAGTGCTCGGTCCTGTCAATTCAAAGTCCTGTCAAGCTCCTGCCACGACTTAGGAGAGCCCATCTGCAGCCCAATTTGTCACCAGTTCGACGAACTGCACCACCGTCCCAGACGCCCGGCCGTTACTGTGCAGCGTTCTGCCAGGGGCCCAGTACCCACGATGATGCCCTTCCCCTTTAGGGGATCACACCCTAGGGGGGGGGGACTAAGACCAGAGGGACAAGGGGGTTCCCCTTTAGTTCTTCTCCTAAAGGGCCCCCGTGCGCCACCCTCAGACCCCACACACCACCAAACCAGTCAGACCTCACGCACGCGGCGCTGTCTACCGGCCACCACCTGCTGAGTACCACCCTCGACCCAACATATCGCAGCCCGCGTCATCAGCACAACAACGAACGACTGCTCAGCTCCCCTACACATCGCAACTTCCACGCACAATATAATTCCTGCAAGCGCCTCTTTACACGCCACCACTACCACCAAATGCTACCAGGCGCACATACCCGCACATCCACACAAAAGGTAGGTAGAGTACAGCAGCAGGGACGACACACCACGTCGCGCAAACGGCACCCCTACTATAGATGCTACAACTATGACGTCACGACGTCGGGGCCGCCGGTTAGTTCCGGGGGCTCCGGAACCACGAGCGGCACCGGCACTGAGGCCGACAGGGGGCCCAGCGGCGGCGGTGTGCTTCTGCCGCTATTAGACGGCCGCGAGGGCAGCGACAGCTGCGGCGATAAGGCCCGCGGTGGTTGCTGTTGCTGCTGCTGCTGCTGCCGCAAGGCTGCGGAAGTGGGGCGGGATGTGGGCGATTTAGAAGCGGCTTGGCTACGAGCCGACATGGACCCCGAGGGGGGTCGCGCAGGTGACGAAGGCCGCGCACCAAGGTGCATTCCTGATGCTGGTCGCTTTGTGATGGCGCTGTTGGCGCCGCCTGCCGTTTTCACAGCTGGGGAGGTGGGTGTAGCGGGGGGCTTGTCGGTGGAAGAGACGGAGGCGCCGGTGCCGGTGCCGGTGCCGCCGCCAGAGCCCGTAGCGTTAGTCGTACGCATGGCGGCAAACGGCGGTGTGCGTGAGATAGTGGCGCGGCGGCGGGCTGCAACGGCAGCGGCTGTGGCTCGGCGCCACATGCGCGCGTAGAAGGGCACGCCGCGGTGCGTTTGCAGGTGGGGTATGAGCGGGCATTGCGGTAGGGAAAGGTGCAGGCGGTCGTGGAGAGCGCAGCAGCGAACCGCCACACGCGCCAGCCAGCGCCTGCGGTGAGCGGAAGGGGATAGGCATAATCGGAGTGTACGGCGCGTATTGTATCAGGACTGGGTATATATACACATACATACAATACTTAGATCAGGCACTACTGGTAAGGCACGGTCCACTGCCCCCGGGAGATCCCTGTCAGGGTCGAAAATCCATCCAATGGTGGAAGGTAAAGTGCCCCAAGTCGATGAACGGTGGTGGGATAAAGTGAACTTGCGGCCTGACCAGGAACGGAGTTGGGCCGCTGTCGACCCGGCAGATTCCGTTGGATGCTGGTGGTGGGTGCGGAACCTAAGCGATCCACTGAGAAGTTGACTAGGGTGACTAGATGAGGGTGCCCCGAAATACCGGGGAAAGGCAGGGTTTCGCCGGGTAGCGGCCACAGGGTGAAGAGCGGCCCCTGTCCCACACATCATACATACATGCATACAAAGCACTGCTCCGAGTCATGTCCAACACTAAGTAGAGTAAGGATTGCAAGATCAATCGCTTTTTCCACACGCTGTTGCTGGTTGAGGGTTGGTTAAGAAGGGCACACGGCTGGTAGCTGAGGAAGCCTTAGGGTGACCATCCGCCTGTAAAGGCCTAATGCCGTGAATCAGCCTCTTAGTATGTCAGTCTGTCAGTCTGTCAGTCTGTCAGTCAGTCTGTCTGTCTGTCAGTCATTCAGCTCACTTGTAACCGGCGGGAAGCGCTCCCACATCGGCGGCGTCCAGACCGCTCAGTGATTCCAGCTCGTCCATCTCCGCGCCCACTACCCAGATGCTATCGTGAGGACCGTACAGCAGCCGTACGGCAGCCGTAAGCCGCTCCAGCAGCTCCTCCAGCTCCGACGGGGGCCCGTCTGTTATGTGTGTGTGTGTATGTGCGTGTGTGTGGAGGGTTTGTCAGTTATCAATGTATTCAGGGGGAGGAAATTGGTGACAGGAAAAACACGCAGTTAAGAAAAGAGGGGTCCGGGGTGAAAAGGGAGCCCGGATGCCGCAACTGCCCCAAGCGTCTGTCTGACACTGTCTGAGAGCCATAGGATTTGCCCCTGATCCCTCCTGCGACTAAGATCAGAAAGGGAATACTCCTCCTTATTCATGCTAAAAATTACATTTTTTCCTACGAGTACGAGGAGTACGACGCGTCCTTACTGTGTGGGCCGCCTGTCAGGTTTTCCGCCGTCAGCAGCGATGAGAACCGGTCCGCCTTCTTCACCAGCAGCAACCGCAACACTGTGCACAGCGCTGCGGCGCGACGCGGTCCGTCGCGACCGTCCCCGTGGGAGCCCCCCATGTCGCCCTCTAGGAGGGCCGCCTGGGGGGTGCGGGTTGCCAGTGTGGTGGAGAGAGGGGGGCAGGTGTTGGGAGGGGCACGGCCACATAGACATCCCTGCGGCCCTCATCAGCGCTTGAGATCGCATGGCTTGCGACCTCGACTGCATGGACTGTGCGCATGTGTGCCGGTGTGTTCGCTACCGTGTGCTCACTCCCACACGAAATCCCTACGTACAACACACACACACACACACACACACACACACAAACACACACACACACACACACACCCCACACGCCGCCCAATCCGCCGCCCAATCTCCCTCCACCTGCTGCTTGAGCTGCTGCTCCGCCAGGGCCCCCGCGTCCGCGAAGTAGCCCTCCAGCGTCTCCCCGTGGTGGGTCCAGTGCCGGGTCACCAACACGGACAGCAGGCGCCGGGCGGCGTCACGAGCGGCATGGAGATCCATCTACAGGGGAAGAAAAGGAATCACAATTAATTATCAATTATGTTTTGATGAACTAATTATACTATTTAATTGATCAATTATCAAGTTTACAAGTGCCGCACGAGTGGGGAAAGATCCGCCAAAGCCGGAAACATTTAGACCGGAAACACGCAAGGTCGGTGATAAGACGCCACGCTGGCGGGTTGTGGACATCCGCCGGACGCACCACACGGTGGTACGGCACCGCCTCCCTCACCTCCGCCAGTGCACCCAGTCCTCCGGGGAGCTGGGCCGCACCCGTCTTGAACGCCCGCGCCCATGCTCTCACAAAGTCCGACCGGAAAGCGCCCTCGAAGAAACCGCTGTCTGACAGGTGAGTCACCGCTGATGCCGACACCATGCCGCCACCGGGCGGCCGTACGGCACCGTCCGGATAGACCAGACTGCTATCTGCCCGATTTCGCGCGTCGACCTCCGCTGTTGACAGCACCGTCCACAACGCCTCCAGAGCGGCCTCGCGCTCGGACTCGGTCAGGGTAGCGGCGTTGAGGCCTCCGCCTCCGCCGCCGCCGCCGGCGCCGCCAGCGCCACCGACACCTCCTGCTGCGGCTGCCGCCGAGTCCACCGGCAGCTGCATTCCCGCATGGGCCATATCTCCCACAATGTCGCTGAAAAGCTCGCTGACGTCATGTTTGGTGATCCAGCCGTCACCGTCGGAATCGTACTGGGAGAACAGCTGCACGGGGTGGGTGGGGAAAGACGGCGGGGCAGAGGGTGCGTGTGAGTGCGAGGCGCAACAGCAGCGCGGCGTCGGGATCTCCCTGCTGGGGGTTGTGAAGCAACCCCTTCTCGCCCCTCGTTGGGGGGATGGAGCGCCGCAAGATCAGAGAGGAAAGGAATAAGATGGGCGGATTGTGCGTGTGTGCGGGGCCGTGTGCACGCGCAGGGACGCCAGAGGGGCTCGGGGTGTGGGGTGTGGGGGGTTCAAAGCCCACGTGCCATTCTTCAGGTTTCGGAGCTCACAGCACACAGCCATCACTCTCCCCCCCCCTGGACGCTATCCTCCTCCGAAGGTCTTTAGATCCGAAGTCCGCGGCTTCTCCTTCGCTATGCCTCTCCCCCGTCCCCGTCCCCGTCCCCGTCCCCACCTCGGGCAGCATCTCTCTGAATATGCTTTCCATGCGGGCGTACTCCCCGCATAGCGCATCTAGAAACACAGCGGAACTGATCCGCTTGAACTCCCCCCGGCCCAGCTCGAACTGACGAACCTGGGGGAGGGGGGGCAAGAGAGAGAGAGAGAATAGAAGGGAGATAGCAGCAAGGAAACAAAGTAATGGGTAAAGAGGACCATAACAACGGCTCATGGGGGGTTGGGGGTAACGCGTCGCCACAAACAGCACCCGGCGAGTGGACCTGTTTGCCATTGCCCCCCCCAACGCCCCCTTCCCAAGTTCTTCAACAGTACAACACACAAGCACACGTGGTCTGCGTGGTCTAGTCGAACTTCCCTGCCGCGACCACAACGAGATCTTTATTTGCGGAGCGCCTGGTCGTCACGCACTCACGCACTCACGCACCTGCTGCAGCTCTGCCCCGTAGCTTCCTGGCGATACGAAGTACGAGTCCATCTCGGCGGCCGTGATGGACTCCGCCTTGGAGCTGAGCAGCTGGGCGAACACGTAGGCGGCCTTGGGGGATCGGCGCATCAGGACCTGCAGGGGGGGCCCCGGGGAGAACGAACAACAAAGGATTTCTACGTGTTACGATCTGCTAAGACTGCTAAGAGGGCTAAGAGGGCTAAGAGGGCTAAGAGGGCTAAGAGGGCTAAGAGGGCTAAGAGGGCTAAGAGGCGTAAACCGGATGAAAGGGGGGATGTACTGGCACAGCACAGCACAGCACAGCACAGCACAGCACAGCACAGCACAGCACAGCACAGCAGGAAAAGGATCATATCATTGCTGACACTGCTGCTCGAAAGTGAGCGTGTGTGTACCTGGCATGTTCACCCTGGGCCTGAATGTCCCCAAAAGTCACGGACCCCGGACAATCCTCGCCTCTGCCCTCCGCGGCAAAAATCCCCCCCTGCGCCCCCTTCCATAAGAACCTGCCCTCCTCCTCCTCCTCCTCTTGCTGCTGCTGCTGCTGCTGCTGCTGCTGCTGCTGTTGCACTCACCCTCTCCGCCACCCAAAGCGCCTTCCTCACATCCACCGGTGCCGAGTCGTTCTTCCGGGCTCCCGACGGCAAGTAGTCAGCGGGGAAGTCGCAGCAAGGTACCCGACTGGGCTCCTGGAGCCGCCGGGTGGCTGGAAAGAGGAGGAGGAGGAGCGGGAGGAAGGGGGGAGAGGAGAGTGAGGCTAGCCGGGCGCCCGACACTCGGAAACAGAGTGGCACCGATACTGTACACCGGGGTGTGACAACACGTGCCATAGTGAGATAATGACATAAGCGGAGCGGCCAAACTCTCCAGACACACACACACACACACACAACGCATGTAAAACTAAACCAAGCACGCAGCTCACCATCCATGTAGGCGCACAGAACACGTGTGTCCCACTCCTCCATGAGGAAGCGCTGGAAGGTTCCGACCCGTGGGTCGTTGGCGCAGTACTGCAAACAGGTCGCCACTAGCTGGGCAGCGTACTGGTTCACAAGGTCCTTGGTGCCGTACTGGCCTGTGGACGAGCAAATGAGGCAGAAGACAATGGGAATGCGGCCCGTGGGAGAATTCCGACGGCTCAGTGGCGGCGGAAGGGGATGTACGGCAGACGCCCAAAACATACTGACTACTTGTTTGAGGAGTGTTGAAATGGGAGGTGGCCCCCCATCTTATGGACGGTGTAGGACGCTGTAATATCAACTTGCGAGCTGACCAGGAACTAAGTTGAGGCGCCGTTGATCCGCTAGATTTGGTTGGATGCTGGTGGTGAGTTGCTGAACCCAACGATTACATCCTGAAGTCGGATGGGGCGAACGGATTAGGGTGCCCCTCTCGCAGGGGAGAGCAGGGAACTGCCTCGGGAAAGGGGGCGCTGGTGAAGCTATACCACCCTGTAACAACATACATACTGATAGGCAGGCGGCTGGCAGAAGTTAAGGCCTGACTTCTGCTCCCAGTCGATCCAGTCGACCCGGGTTCAAATCCGCCTGCCAGCTCCTCGGGTGTTTGAGGAGTGTTGAAATGGGAGGTGGCCCCCCATCATATGGACGGTGTAGGACGTGATAATATCAACTTGCGAGCTGACCAGGAACTAAGTTGATGCGCCGTTGATCCGCTAGATTTGGTTGGATGCTGGTGGTGAGTTGCCGAACCCAACGAATACATTCTGAAGTCGGATGGGGTGACGGATTAGGGTGCCCCTCTAGCAGGGGAGAGCAGGGACTGCCCCGGGAAAGGGGGCCGCTGGCGAAGTTAACCACCCTGTAACAACATACTGAAGGGCCGAGAGCTGAACAGGTGGCACGATGTGGCATGTGGCATGGCAGGTGGCAACCCCCATGCCGTTTTTATTTTTTACATTCCTAATGAGATTGCCGTACATATCCTTCGGTGAGAGTATAAAAAACCACACGGGCCATTTGCCCCAAAGAATCCATACTGGTAATCCACGGTTTGCCGTACAGATTAGGTACCTTCGTACAGCCCTACGTACCCGACAGGTGTTGGAACATGTACTCGATCATGGTTAGCGGCTCTTGACCAATCTTGGAGCGCTGCTCGTCGTTGGTGGCTTTGCCCCTGTACATCGAGTCGATCAATTTCAGGAGCCACTCCAAGGTACGTGGCTTGGCGTCAGCGTAACGGGTCAGCGCGTCCTGAAGCCGTGCAGTGGCGGCGGCGCGATCTGGCCGGATGTACACTGGCGTCTGCCCACTGCCGCCACCGCCGGCGGCGGCGGCGCCGCCGCCACCGGCGCGCCAGGCGGAGATCGTCGCGGCGACGTTGCCGCCGCCAGCGGCGATGCTGCCAGCGGTGCCCTCCTCCCCAGCGGCCGCCGCCTCCGCTGCGCGCTGCTGCGCCGCCGCCAGCATCGCCGCCGGCAGCATCACGCGGTTACCTGACGCTGCGTAGCCGGTGTTGCCGCCTCCGCGCGGGGCGGTGGTGCTCGTACGACCCAACACTGGCGCCTGCGGCACCGTCGCCGCCATGGCGCGTTCTCGCGCCTTCTCCTTCACCGCCGCCAGCCGGCTGACTTTCGTTCCCTTGCTGCTCTTGCCCTCCCCTGTGCTGTCACGGCCGGCCTTGATGCTGCCTCTGGAGCCGGCTACCCGGCCGCCGTCCACCGGGCTGCCCACACTCTCACCATCCGTATGGCTGGGCAAGGTCGGGTTACGTGGGTCGATGCCTGCCCAGGAAAGGGGGGAGAAAATCATAATATGCGAGAAACTCCAGAAATAAATAAACCGCCGTCCACGGCGCCCAAAGTCCGAAAAAAGGGGCCCCCAGGAGGGGGGAGGCAAGGGAGCAAGGGGTCGAGAGAAGACAACCGAGCCCGGACGAGACAGGACGGGACGCTACCCGAACGCGACTGCAGCGAATGGCCGCACCAGCAGCGGCGCCCTCATGGCAGTGAAGAGTGGACTCTGACCGGGCGACAGGAGTTACAGACTGTCAAGTCGTACAAGCGCTCACCCGCACTCACCCGCCCACCCGCGCGCCCAACCCCACCACCGCCAGCAATGGGCCCCCTCTCACCGAGCGCCTCCAGTGTGTTGCACAGCTGTGAGTACCTCTTCTTGGCATCCAGCAGCTCCCGCCTCACCGCCGCCACCTCCCTGCCCCGCGCCTCCGCCGTCTGGGCCAGGTCAGCTCTGGAGGCCTCAGCGGACTCAGCGACCACCTTGAGCTGTGGAGCGAGTGGGAGGGGGGGAAAGGGGGGGAAAGGGGGGGAAAGGGGGGGAAAGGGGGGGAAGGGGGGGAAGGGAAGGAGGGGAAGGGAGGGGTATAGAGAGTGGGGGACATGAGGAAGAGGATTCCGACCCCATCAGCACACGAACACACGAACACACCAGCACACCAGCACACGAACACGGAAGGCGCCAGAAGGTGCAAGGAAAAGGGTAGTTTGTACGGAATGGAAAACGGTGGACTCTTTTTTCGGGAACCTGCCGGTACGTGGCAACGTTGCCGTTTGCCAACCGATCGCCAAGGGGGCGGGGGGCCCCTGCCTGCCTGCCTGCCTGCATGCATGCATGCACGCGCAGCAGCACACACACCCCACCAACGTAGGTCAGAGCCCGTGTCTCCCCTCTTCCTGCGTCTCCCATCCTCACCTTCTCCAGCTGCTTTGTGAGTGTACCCGCTTCCGACGACAGCGAGGACATGTACTGCCGCAGAGCAGTAAGCAGACCATCCGTACCGTCCGCTGCGGGACGGGTGGCCGTACAAGGAAGACAGTGCAGTACAGGGGATACGAGTGAAAAACAAAACATGACAAGGTAGGTACGGTAGCACCACACGGCGCCATGCAACCGAAGAGCACACAGTGGGCGAGCAGGCACCAAACGCCTGGATGTACGGCGGATAAAACACGCGTGGTAAGGACACGCGAGCCCCCCCGCATACCCGGGACCGGGGCCGGGCCCCCTGGAACACACCAGACGGGTGGCGCTGCGGAGGGTCCCGACCTAACTTCTTACCTACCTTCCTTAAGTACATATTTACATCTACACAGGTGATAAATCGTATAACTAACAATGTGATAAAGCGGCCCAGAAGCCTCGCACTCTGTAACATAACACAACACAACATAACATCTACACATCTACATATTGATAAGGGAGAAGGAGAATGGTCAGAGGACTCTTGGCCGATAATAACGCCCCTCTAAATGACGGAGTGCTTCGGCGTTCGTTCCCGTTGGGGTTTTTACGGTTAGGTGCCCCTGGCCTGCATCAGGCCCGAATCGATATGTAACATATACACATATACACACATGTACGCATGTACACATGTACACGCATCTACAAACAAGCACACGTGCACTCCTGAAACCCCTAAAGCCCATATCGCACATACCCACCGCCTCGCACATCACAAGCTCGCACACGTCACACCTGAACGGCCCTCTCGGCGCGTCGCGTTCCCCATGGATCGCGGCATTCGGTCTTTGCAACAAAACCCTGGCCCGCACTCTCCCCCCTCCCTGCCCGGCCCCACGAAACACGTCCCCCAGGCATGGACGCACCACACCGACGCACCATCATCATTGGGATTCCCCACAATGCCGATCTCGCCAAGAGCCTCTCTGAGCGCCTTCATCTGCTTCGCAGCCTCAGCAATATCCGGATCTGCCACACCCTTGAGCAGCTCCGGCCCCGTCTGACAGCCGTTGGTCGCCAAATTGAATACCCGCCCGCGTGGCAGCGGTGTCGTGGGTGACGCGCTGCGGGAGATAGAACCGGGGATCGTACTTGCCGTACCCAGCGGCCCGCCGTGGCCGTCGATGGCGCCGCTGCCGCGGCCGCTGTGGCCATGTCCCTGGCTGCCGCCGCCGCCATGGGCTAGGTGGGGATCCTGTGGTGCAATCTGGGTGAGACTGCCTGCAGGTGTCGAGCGGGTACCGCTGCCGGCGACACTGCCGTACCCGTCCTGCCCCTCGCCGCCAACAGCCCCTGGATCACCGCCGTTGATGGAGCCGCCGCCGCCGCCGCCGCCAGGGCCAAAACTGGTCGCGCCCGGGGGCCCGAGGCCGCGGCCCGAGGTACCCCGCCCACCCCCGCCTCCGGCGTTGCCTCGGTTCTTGTTCTTGTTTTTGCCCTTCTTCTTGTTCTTGTTGTCCTGGCGGTTGGCATTACCGCCTCCGCCTCCGCCTCCGCCTCCGCCCCCAGCAGCGTCAGGAGGGCCCGTCGGTGTGCCGGACGCGGATCGCGGTACGGCGACCACATCTGGAGAGGCGGAGCGGGATGCGGTGCGGGAGACGGAGCGGGAAAGGGGCGTGCGGCTGCCGGCGGCCGAGTCCTCGTCTCCAGCCATCCCGGGCAAGGTTGGGGAGGCGGTGCTGCTCCGGGTTTGCAATGAGCGCCTGCAGCGGAGGGAGTGCGGTGAAGGGGGTAGGGGTAGGGGTAGGAGCACCCCGGGTAGGGGTAGGGCCCCAATGGAGGTCGGGATGATGGGGGACAAGCAAAGCGGGGAGAGCCGAGAGGGGGTAACAAGGAGGATGCAGTACGATGACGAGTACAAGTACGGCAATATCGTACTGAGTAACATGTGGTGGGAGCGGGAGGGTTCATGGGGGAAGGGGGAAACTGGTTCAGGAACAGATTCAGGCCGAGCAGACCCGAGGGATGAGAACCTGGCGCGGAGGTGGGGGGCATGGGAGCGGTTGTACGGTGTACAACTGTCCGCAACTCAGGAGGTTTCTCCTCCTTCTTCTCCTCCTCCTCCTCTTCCACCTCATCATCTTCTTCTTCTTCTTCTTCTTCTCCGTTCTCCCCCCCTTACGCCTTCTCACCCGGGCTGCAGCTCGCCGTCCTGCGTCAGGATTGGCCCCGCCCGGCCGCCCTCCTCGTCCTCCAAGAACGCGTCGTCATCCGCGCCGGCGGCCGGAGAGATCTCCGAGAACAGCCCCCGGCCCTCCGCCCCGCCGTCCTGCCCCGCCTCCTCCTCCCCGCCCAGACCTCCGTCTCCTGAGCCGCCGGCCCCCTGGCCGGGCCCCCCTTCTTCAGCTTCTTCCTCCGCCCCATAGTCGTCACCATCGTCATCCTCGCCATCTTCAGAGCTCTGCAAACCACCGCGGGTAGGAAAGGGGCATGGGCCGCGGAACAGCGCAGATTTACTTTCTTGAAGGTGCACAAAAACGACGTATTGGACAGTGACCGACGCGCATATATATCCCAGCAGCGAAAAGTGACAGCAGTAATAGGACTCGAGAGGGTCCGGCGCTTTTTGCTCTTTGTAACACAACGGCGGGGATGGTTGGCGCAGTGCGCTGGGCGACAGAAGTAGCCCCGCAAAAAAGAGGTATGCGGCCCGGTGGGAGGTGGGAGGTGCGGATCCGCCAGCCACCCCGGGGCTTATGGACGCGGAGCAGGGCTAGGAAAGGTGGAGGTGGGTCGCCTTGCGGCGGAACGCAGGGCTGGAGTCGGGTGAGGTGCTGAGTGGCGGCTTCGTTGCCCGCGGCGGGGTGTGGGCATGAGGAACAAAACACCAATAATCCTGATCCTCTGTACGACCAGTGTAAGATTAGAGTTTATTCCTACTGTGGAATTTACTACACTGGCCAAAGCGGGTGATAGAATGTTTGGACACGACGACTCCGTAAGCTTGGTAATCCAAATGTAGGTTTTCCGTCACTGACCCACGGGTCGCATGGTGACCAACGTGGCGCATACACCTACGGAACTTAGATACGCAGCGTACCTCGCCCGTGCCCCTCAGAGCCGCCTCCGCCAGCATTGACAGGGCGCTGTTGGGGTCTGGCTCGTCGCTGTCGTAGTCACTGTCGGAGCCTGGGAGTGAGGGAAGGGCAGTGGGAGGGGGAAGGGAAGGGTGACATGGCAGGTGCCATGGTAAACGAGCAGAAAGCATGATGGTAAGGTAGGTAGGTAGGTAGGTTACTAAGCCGCTTGGCTACATGAACTTGCGAGTAGGACGGAATAACGATGCCACGTAGGTGGTGTGGCGTGACATGACGTGGACTATTGCGCTACGATGTTGCCTCAGCTAGGGTTGCCCCGGTGGTCCAGGTGGGCCTTATGAAGGTTATGACTAAGCCACTACGACACATTGAAGGAACCCACCGTCCCTTTCCAAAGCCCCTATCTCTTAGCTGAGGGGTTTCCCTTCCAAGCCCCTCCACTCTCTCCCCCGTTACACACCCCTCGCCCTCCACTCTCTCCCCTGTTACACACCCCTCGCCATCCAGTCTTCCCCACCCGAACCCCTAGCCCCCTTCAGCTCCCACCTTGTTGGTGTTGGTGTTGTCGCTCCAGTGCCGCTGCCGCTGCCGCCTCCGCCTCCAGTTCCTCCGGCGAGGGCTCCGGATCTCCCTCCGCCAGCACCTCGTCCACCAGCTCATCCCCCGTGGTGTCCGCGGCCGCCACCGCCGTCACCTGCTCCTCCGTCACGAAGTGGCTGTCCTCGGCGTCCTGGGTCACGTCACGAACCTGGGCCCCGAGGGGGAGGGGGGAGGACGAGGGGGAGGGGGAGGGAGGGGTTGGCAGGGCGACAGAAAACCAAGGGGAAGGTGGTGGACCCCGTGGAGAAGGCGGGGGTGGAGGGGAAGCACGAACGTGAGAAGGGGGCAGAGGGCAGAGCCCGGGCAAGAGGCAACATGGAAGAAGGTAGGACGGTAAGAGCGTAAGAGGAAAGCCCAAAGGAAGAGGACCATTGCTGCGCGACGCTTAGCCGGCGCACTGCATAGAAAGAGGAATCAGGATGAGGGGTTCTACTTAGGAAAGAAAAAACATCGCAGACGAGGCTATGAGGATATGGGGGTCAGGGAGGAGGTTCAGGCAAAGACACGAGGGTCAGGACAGGCCACAAGATGCAGCGGCAGCGAACATCATCCGCCCTGCCACATCCACTGCTGCCCGACTCGCGCACCTTTTGCAAGCTGTGCAGTATATTCTTGAGGCCATGCTCCACCTGCTGCAGCTCCGGAAACGCCTCCTCGCCCATCATCTCAAACGACACCTTGCCGTTGCCGCCACCGCCAGCGCCAGCGCCACCGCCAGCGCCCGATATGACGGCGCGAAGGTGGCCCTGAAGCCCCGTGATGACGTCAACCAACTGGGCAGTCTGGGACTTGGTGTACGACACGGCGTTGTACAACACATCTCGATCGCGCTGCAGAGAGGGCAAGCCAGGGAGGGTAGGGTGGGGTAGGGTTCGGTTGGTGTAGGGAGGCTGTGGGGAGGCTGGGGTGGAAGAGGGGGGCCCCTAGGTAGGGGACAGGGAAAGGGGGAGGGTACGGGCGCCATACACATGAAGCATTTAGTACGTAGGGCCGTTCCCTTGCAGTCTGTGTATGTGTGTGTGTGTGTGTGATACATACACCTCGATTGCGTTACCCAGAAGAGGTGTAACAAGTATCCACATGAGCCAGATAGAGGCCCAAGAGCCTCCTAGGAGCCACACTAGTTAGGTAAGGGACATAGGTCTGTGTGCGCTCGTGTGCTCGTGTGCCCTAACCGGCAACCCGGCAAACCAACCGTCAAGCGTCGACCGACAGAATTTTCCATTGTCAACCAACACACGGCGTACCGTCATGAGCTCCAGCTGCTGCTGTGTGTTGCGCAGCTTGCGTGCCAGTCGGTATGCGTTACGTCGTTGCTCGCGCCTGGACGGCGGGAAGGGAGAGGAGGAGGGAGAGAGGGAGGGAGAGAGGGAGGGAGAGAGGGAAGGCTCAGGATTCCAGTTCACAGCTCTTAGCTGGCTGAACGCTCACCCTCAGCCTCGGACCAGCCGCACCCTCGATCCTTACACGGTCAACACCCTCCGAACACAAACCTCCCCACGCACACCCTCCGAACCAGAGCCTCCTCACGCACACCCTCCGAACCAGAGCCTCCCCACGCACACCCTCCGAACCAGAGCCTCCCCACGCACCTGTAGGTCTTGAGCTCCTTGCGGTAGTGGGCGATGATCTTATCGTTCTCCCGCAGCAGCGCATCCCGCTCGCGACCTGCCAGGAGAGCCTCCGCGCGGGAGGCCTAGTGTGTGTGTGTGTGTGTGGCGGGGGGAGGGGGCGGGTGAGGAAGCGAAGACGGAAAAGACAAGGCGATGAAGGGGGTGGGAGGCGATAAGCGCGGTAGAGAGGGGAAAGACGAACCACACGCGATTGAAGCTGCTGCCAGGGCAAGATAGTAGCAACCGAAAGAACTGACCGAAAGGCGTCCGTGGCGACTGTGACGACTGTAACCTCGAGATGACGACTGTAACCTCGGAACGAAGAATTGACGTGGATGTTGGAAGTCCTACCTACCTAAGCCGCCAGAAATATTATAGCCAAACCGTAAACTAGGTGTAGAAAAAGTAGTGAAGGCGGCGAGAAAAAATGCGGCGAGAAAAAATGCTGACGTAAAAGAGGCGTAAAGTTGCTGGCCAGGAAAGAAAGCTGCATTGCTGATACTGAAAGGCTGCCGGTATGCAAGTGTTCCTCCCAACCCCCCAAAAAAACTAGAACGCGCGACTGACCCGACCGACCCAAACTAAACTATTCCGGCTAGCCTACCGACACCAACGCGAAATACCAAAGAAGCTCGAACCACCTTTTGGACTCACCTGGCCAGGCAGCAGGAGCAGCGGGTAAAGGCACATGCAAGGCAGAGAGGGGATGGAAGGGCATCAAGGGGACAGAGATCAAATAATTTAAAGGTAAGGAGCGCTCGAAGGCTCGAACCCCCGGGCAACGTTAAGGGGCAAAGCAACCGGAGGGCGTTGAGGGGATTAACGACAATACCTTTACCTTTACAGAGGAATCATGACGCCTTCCATAAAGCAGCCAAGGTTACAAAATAGGACACCGTACCAGGAGTGTAAGCTCTGTGAATCGGAAGCCACAGAACCTAGACATACAGTAGATGTGAACAGGCAATGCTAGGTGTGTTTGTATGTGTGTATGTATGTGTGTGTGCGCTGATGTATGACCTACGAATCAGCACGTGCCTGATACCCTGGCGGATTGCCGCAGGTGGTGGCGCAGGTGGAGACGCAAGCAGGGACATTCAGGGGCAGCAGGTCCTGTCACGTGCGGCAGCTGGTTTGCGGGGTTAGCGGGTCCCGTAGCGGGGTACCGTACGTGGGGCCGCATGAGCACCATCAGCCCCATCAACCCAGTCCAGCTGCGTCCCCCGGTCGGCACGCCGGCTTCCGCCGCGGCCCACAGATAATGGTCCTAGAGACCCAGCGCTATGTACGCAGGAGCAACACAATGGCAAGTCCCCTGGACTTCAGAATTGTGGAGTCCTGGAAAGCGCAGTCAGGCACACCACGCAGAGAAGGTCGTGGCGTGGCGTGGCGTGGTGTGGTGTAAAAAACGCAACACAGCGTGTTCCCGACCGGTTTCACGACAGACAGGCAATTTGTGTCGTGAGGTGTGCGCGCGCGCACGCGTGTGTGTGCGTGTGCGCGTCTGTGCGTATGCTTTTCCGCACGCCCACCTCCAAGGCCGTGGTCAACTCCTCCCTCGCTGTACGGCTCTCCAACTCCCAGTCAATCAGAGGGTCCAGCCTGGAACGAGGCGCAACGGAGAACAAAGGGGAGATGAAGACGGGGAATGGGAAGGAGATTCTAGAGTAGAGTAGAGGCGCAGGAGATCCTGGCCCGGTTGAAATCCATGCGGCACGTGGCTTCGTGCCACTCACTTGCCCTCCCCCGCCCGTACCCCGCTAACGGGCGCCGCTCATCCCTAACTGCCCCGTCCCCGCCAGCACATCAGCCCAAAAGCCACCTGCGTATCTTGGCTGCCTGTTCCGCTGCGGTGGCGCTGAGCTGCTGCTGGGCCTTGCGTGCCGCTGCCAGCCCGCTGTCCATGAGCGCTGTGTTGAGGTTCCACAGCCGGGCTAGCAGAGCCCCCTCCTCCCAGCACCGGTGAGCCACGTTTTGGATTACCGCGTTGGTTACAGCGGCCGTGGCCTGAGGTGGGGTCAACGACGGAACCACGAGGGGAGGTAGGTCGTCGTCGTCGTTGTCACCATCATATCATCATCATCATCATCATCATGGGCAGCCGAAAAAATCCCCACAGGGCCCCCAGTACACGAGACACACCAATTGCACTCGAAGGCCAGTCAAGCAGTCACCGCTCACCTCCACCATGGACGACCAAAGCTGCGTGTCCGTGGCGACATGGTACAGACTGGAGCTCAGGTCCTTCAGACCAGCGGTGACGCTGCCGAACCGAATCGCCAGCGCCGCCTTGCTGCCCGAAGGGGTCGCCGAGGCGGCCGCGGAGGCGACCCGACGTGGGCCCCCACTGCCGCTGGCGCCGCTAGCACCACTCCCAGTGGCGGCTTGCGAACGCATCGACACGTCGTTAGCGGATGGGGAGCCGGACAGTGCCGTCGGCGCTGCCGTGCCGCCGGCGCCAGGACCCGCCGGCACCGGCCCTTTGCCGTCAGCGGCGGCCTTCGCCGCGGCCAGGTGTTGCTCCCAAAGCAACCCAATGGTATGGTCCAACCAATCCGCCATCAGTTGTACCTGACGTCGGTTGCTGGGACGGAAGGTGATCATGTGTCCCAAGGACGGCGGAGATGCGATGTCGTCCAAGGACGCGTCGGCGGCGCTCGCCACCGCTGCCGCCGCCACGGCGTTCATGCCGCCGTTCTGGAAGGCCTCACGCGGCGTCGACGCCACGCCGGCGGTGATGCCGCCGCGTAGGTCCGCCAGCGCGCTGTACATGCCGTGCGGCAAGCCCGCACCGCCCCACGGCGGCTCAGCGCCGGGTGCCGGTACCACCAGAGCGGAGTGCAGGGCGGACCGAGGAACCAGAGGCGGCAGGCTAGGCCCGTGGGGCCCCGGCGGCGGCCCCACTGCCGCCGCAACTGCCCCCCACACTGGACCAGCGCTGCCGGCCATTGACAACGGCACGGAGTCCAACGTCATCGACTGGGTTGCTATTCCGCATGCTGACACCCTAGGCGGCGATCCCGGGCTCTTAGGCGAGCTTGCGGGCCGGGGAGGTGACGACGCCCCTCGAGAGCTCGTGGGGGGGCGAGATGGCGATGTGGGCGGCCGAGGCGGGGACGTCGGCGGTCGTGGGGGCGACGTCGCGGGCCGAGACGGCCCTCGCATCGGCGAGACGCCGCCGCTCACGAGTGCGGCAGTGCCAGCAGGGCCCGACAGGGGCTGCAGGTACGAGAGGAGCCGATTTTCGAATGAAACCATAGACGCGCGACTGGACCCTGTCGGCATTATCAGCGCCAGTCCGCCCGACTCACGCGCCGTGTTCCCCCCGTAGCGTGTGGCGGGCGCCGCCTCCTGGAGGGCCTCCCAGGGGTTGGGGTTGGGGTTGGGACCGCCGGAAGCTGCTGCGAAGGTGCCGCCGGAGCATACGGGCTCCAAGCAGCTCGCCCTCCCCCCACCTTGCGGCAGCTTGGCATTGGCTGCATGGCGGATACAGAGGGCAACAGGGCCGTAAGATCCTGGTGGGTGAGAAGATGGGTGGGTCGTACAACGGGATTTCACCAGAGACTCGGTGCAAGAGACCGCAGCGAGTAGGGATTTGCGAGGCCATGTGAGCGCGTGGCGACATGGAGCGCTAGGAAGACTGCTGGGATGGCGGCTGAGATGGTGACGGCTGTGCTCCTATAGCCGCACAGGGACACGGCCTGGCGTGCGCGGCCGCGGCATCAAAACAACCTCTCTTTGACCTTATATTTAATGACAAAGTAACTTTTGAAGGCACCAAAGAGTTTCTAAAGTTAGGATGCTGTGCAGAGCGTCGCTTTTCCCTGAGCTTGAACGTTTCCTAGAAACCCCAGAGCTCACGGGCAACACCTCAAAGGCCGCGCACACACGCTCCACCGGCTCAGGAGGTGGGTCCTGCGCTCCGAAGACAGTTCACCCCGGACGCTAATTACCGGACGCCTGTTTTTTAGCGACCAGGCTGCCGAAGCCCCGCCTCTTTCCAGCCCTGAGCCGGCTGGTTGCGCTAGCTGGCAGACTGCCTGGCCGGCTGACTATCTGACTGCTGCTGCTGCTCACTTGGTTGTTTGACCCCCCCTGGACCCCCGTGTGCGGCACCACAAGTAGCACGTCATGTGTTTTGCTGGTCACTGGTACTGCTGGCACCGGCTGCGACACGACAAGAAGCTCGTTCCGTTGCTCGTAAGCGCCTCGCTTGGCGGCCGCTGATGTCGCGGTGCTCGTGCTGCGCCCCGGGATTCCACGAGCCAATGCGACACGTGCCGGTTCCAATGCCGCCGGCCAGTAGCGAGGCGGAAACGGGGACGGCGGGACCCAAAAATAGTCCTCGCCGCCACCGCAGCCCGCAGAGCCGCCGATCCGCGTCTTACACGGGATTCCGCTCGCCATACACCTGACCTGGCCACGCGCTGCGCCGGTCTCCACTTGCGTCAACCCCAACCCAGACCACACCCTGTCCTGTCCCCGGTTTGCACCCCGATGCTGTTACCACGTCCGTTATTTCTCAGTCCAGTTTGCCCCTCCGTCCGTCCGACCCAAATTACCCGCTCTGCGCTGCTGACCCGGGGCCCCCGCGCTACCGACAGTCCGCGGCCGTTCCATGCTGCCGTATAGCCGCTGTGACACAGACATCGGTGCCAGCTGCTGCGAGAGCGCCAGCGGCTTGGCCCCGCCTCCTTGACCCACATGCCCGCCGGATTGCGACGGGTCGGGTGAAGGTGCTGTCGTGCCTCCAGTGTCGGTCCACGCGTTTATGAGAGGCGGAAGCTGGCCCTGCTGTGGGAGGCAACCCAAAAGTAAAAAGGAGGAACAGCGGCTGGAGGCTGTACAATGTCATGTCTGGAAGGCCGCCGCACGCGGTGCTTGTGCTGTGCAAGTGCGCTTCGCGCCGCTACCTATGTGCTTCCGGAGGTTGATGCCTATTGCGGCCCGGGGTAAGCTCGGCAGTGCAATTGGGGGCCCCTTCAAGTCCTTTGTTCTGATGAAAATCAGGCCGCCTACTACCCCAAAAAGTCAAGTAATTTGTTGTTGGCCCTCGTAACTCCATTGCCGGAGGGCCCTCGCATGTTCTCGGCTGTTAGCAGTAACACAGCTCCCCCCATCTGGCAACAGGACATGGAGCTCGGCTTCCAGCACCGCTAGATGCCTGTCACTGATGTAGCGAGTTGCTGGGCGCTGCAGACGGAATTGGTCACGCTGCGGTGCGGTCAAAGGAGCCGCTGCTCCGGGATCGCGCCCTCGTTCGAGGCCCCTGTCACTGAAGGCGCCGTACTTGCCGCGCGCCGTCAGAACAGCCTTGCCGCGGCTGATCTTCATAGCCATACTGCCGCACATGCATCATAATCACATCGCGCATGTGGGTAACAGCAAGGACGTACCACAGCGTTTGGCGTCCACGGTGCAGCACGATGGATGCTGTAGCCCGCCGACTGAAGAGAAATGCTATCCTCTATGGATGTGGCCACCTGAATAGGGGTCATAAGCTGAAAGCCATGAGCTCCTAACGAATCGAAAAAGCGGTCGGCTCCCGGGACCGCGCCATGCAAGCACATGTCGCGCGTTTACCGTGGAAGCGGCTCTGTTGCGACCTGCCCCTCCACCAAAAAACGCCCTGTCGAGGTCCTGCATCCTGCGCAATCCCGCAGCATCCAGGCTGCGCTGCTGCGTCGGCATTTTCGATGTGCCCTGTTCGACGGTAGGCATGGCCACTCAGCTGAAAGCGCAGATCGTAAACAGTTCTTAGGAAATTCACCATTGGCGCCGGAGCACCCATGGCCTGCTTATTGTTCCATACAAAAAAAACACAGGATAGCGGCAACTAAAGTCAATCATACCCAAACAAATAGAGGAACCATATATCAAACTAATACATTACAATACGTATAAGTGGTTCGACATGCATAACGGTTTGGGAGCAAACAGTATATGAAGGTGTTACACGATGCGGAAATGGGAACACAGACGCAGCCCACAACATTAGCTAATCTTTATATTATATAAACTCTATTGTATAGTACTGAAAGTGATTCTTCGCATCCTTGATTGAGACTTGCATTATTGGGCCTCGGTCGTTTTGAGTATTGTTACCGTCCTGCTTGCACAATTTCTGAAAAGTAGGACAAAGGATCACTATTTTTGTATCCGTCGAATGTGACATGGCCCTCTACAAGCTATAATTGCAGGATTCTTAAGTTGAAGCCTTTACAAAGGGAAAACAAAGAAAGCCCATCACTTTCCTATGGGTTGTGGCTCTTCAATCCACAAAGGGGATGAAGCAGGTGCTCCTCAGGCTGTGGCAGAGGCAGAGGAGGCGGTCCTAACCCGCCTGCGGGAAGATAACGCTGAGCTAAGGCGCCAGAATGCGCAATTATCATCTCAAGTCCAGGAGCTTTCGCAGCGAGTTACGACGTTGTCTATGGACGTTAGTGGTCTTCGCATGGAACTGTCGCAGGCCGCGGCTACAGCATCAAAAGCGCTTCAGGTGAGTCTATATTTGCACTATGTCTGCGTTCTGGCCAGCTGCCACTCGAGGCGCACATTTGCGACGCCGTTGGTTGACGCATGCGTAACCGCTTTAATCTGTTTCAACCTGTTTCCCGCCTGCGGCGCTTTTTAGCGCCTTGCCTGCTTTATTATCTTCCCCTCAACGTATGACCGCCTCATATAACGCCTCGGAAACTCTGCGTTCTTGGGTCGCCTCAGGCCGCCCAGGTCGCGACCGAGCGTGCTGAGGGCGCCGCGCTGACGGCCCAGGCTGCGAGCAATGCGCGGCCTCCGACGGCTAACGGCCCCATCGCAATCCCATCTGCGGAATCTCAGCTGCTACAGCGGGTCCAGCAGATCGAATCGCAGCTGGCAACCTTGCAGGACAAATTAGAGACGCAACGGGCTAAGGAGGAGTTTGCACGCCAGCTTCGTGCGGCGCAGGGCGACCGACCACCCATACCGGCGCCACTGCAGCAGCAGCCTTCCTCATCCTCGACAGCGTCCGCTACCGGGGCCGGCGGCCCTCTCAGCGCCGCTGCCCGGGGCCCCACAGGTAACGACTTCGGAAGCGTGAGCGGCAGCTTCGGCAGCAGCGGTGCGGTGGCAGCGGCAGGCACCGCCGTGTCGGCGGTAGCGGCATCACACCCGGTATCCTCAAGTGGCGTTGCGCCAGCGCCGCCAGCAGCTGCGGCCGCGGCCCAGATCATCGATGGGGCTGGTCTGCTGCCCGCCAGCAACAACTTCCCAACTCGGTTCGGCGGTGGGGCCCTGCGTGCGGCGCGAGAACGGACGCCCGGCCGCGGGTGCGCGCCAAGCGGCGGCGGGGGCTTTGGAGGCGATGATTTTTCGCCACATGGTTATGGCGGCACGACGTCCACGACGGCGAGCAATGGGCCCCCGCCAGCCGGCGAGTTCATGTCCACCGTACGGTATGGCAGCGTCTTGCCTAGCGACTTGAAGCTGGCTGAGCAGCGCAAGCAGGGCCCCAGGCAGTTCCTCTAGCCCTCCTGGAGAAGATGTCGCGGGCTACGGCTTGGGAGTACCGCGCTATCCACGGCGCCTGAATTCCGGGAAATGGCCACTAAGCATCAGGCGATCTTCCGCTACGGAGAAGGCTGCTTGCCTTCCTGTCCTTTTATTGGCTGTGCTGCAGCTGCCGCTGCAGCTGTGTAGCCGGATTGTGTTATCATTGTCACCTTTCATGCAGAAGTTCAGTGGCGTTGGCAGCTTATGCCAAACCCCCATGCCAGGTGCATGGGGTCGGTTACGCACTGCTCATGGCTGATGGATGCCTTGCGGTGCCCTTAGATAAGGCACTCTAAGGACTGATTGGCCGCGTGCACGACGGCGGTCGGCGCTGCAATAGAGGCGCTGAGGACCTGACGGGCCTGGTTAATAAGCGGGTTGCGCCCTGGGTCACGAACCCATGGGTGACGGTCACGAACCCATGCGTGCACATTTTGTGTTCTCGTCAAGGGCCAGGGGTACCGTGGCCTCTATTCATTCGATTGGTGGTTCTAGGCTGAGCCCCATCAGCGGGCCACACACGTGCCTTCCCATATGCGCATTGACAGCTCTTGGTGTTGGGGAGAGTTCAGGGCAGGATACGTATGGCGCCAACGCCACGTGTGTCCTGCTCTGTCCTGTCCTCTAATGTACCTTTCACTTGGGGCCAAAGCCTGTAGTAGCTGGCCGCTGAAAATGCCTCTCGAGATGCTGGTCAAGCGCTTTGCGCGTACCTGTAGTTGTGATGCGTGCCGTACTGTGTACGGCAGCTACTACAAGGCCGCATCGCTCACAGATTACCACATGTCCGTACAATCGTGTACACGCCCCCGCAACATTTAGGTTCGCGCGTCGTGTTCGTTCGACTGGAAATGACAGGGAACCGTATTTTCGGTAAGTCCCCCTGGGCAGCGGGAGCTGCATATTGGTGACCTTGCATTGGAGGACTGGAGAAAGAGCCGTGTTTCGCCGTCAGGCAGTGTCGTGAGGGCTCTTAGGGCTCTTAGCAGGGAGCCCTTACGTTTAGTTGGCTGCTTCGGCACTCAATCGAGGGACGCGTGCGCGTGGATGAATAAACAAATGGATAAACGGGATAACTGAATCAGTAGTGTCGACACCAGTTAACATTGCAGGTTACTGCTTACTATTCGGAGTGCGCCCAGCAGAGGCAGTAAATGTCCGCTGGGTAGTGTGCGAACATGCACACCGTGCATACATTTGAACAGGGGAAAAGCCGCTTCGCTTGGTTTTAACTGTTCAGGTGCGGGTCCTGCCTGTATTATCCGTGTGGGCGCAGAGGCAAACGGGGAGGGCGTGCCTTGGGCGCAGCGGGGTATAGGTTGGGGGGTAGGCCAGGAAGGTGTTGGTTGTGAAGGCCACGTCCCACCGTGTGCACATTGTTGCACGGAATGACAACGAATACATCGGACACATACGGACACTGTGAGGCGCGTGTGCTGGTTGACATTGCAGGTGGCGGAGGTGCACTATTTCGGCTGGTTTTTTACTTTTGACGTGGACTCTCAACACGCTGGCGCTGGTGGGGCGCATCCACGGCGTGAAGTGGTCTGTGGGAAGCACGAGCTGCCACGGCAGGAAAAGTTGGATGTTGTGTCGTTTGTGCTGCTTTGTTTTCTTCCCCGTAGGTGAGGTGCATTGCTAACATTAACATCTGCCGATCGCGTTGTGGGGCTGCGGGTGTTGGGCCGCCGGTCGGCCGGCTGAAAGTGCTTCCTCGGACTAGTGTTTCTTGGACGGAGATGGGGGCTGGCTGCGCTCTTGTGGTGAAGAACAGAGAGCCAGGCATAGGCCTGCGGCGTCTTAGACATTCTGCTGGAGGATGGCCGCACGGTCCCGGCACCGGCATCATCATCATCATTAGCAGCAGCAGCAGCCATGGCACTGTACCAAATGTACACGTAGCAGGAGTGATGCAATGGTGAGGCTGTAGAGGGCAGCGGTGTGCTGGGCAGTGTGTGTAGGTGGGAGGTGGGATGGGGCCGCGAAGCGCGTAGCTGCGTCGTTGCCAGTGTGTTACCGTAGCAGAGTGCGTCGCATGCTGGTATGTTATATATTAGAGGTGTCGGGACTCTGAGCTGTTGGAGTGTGTGATACCGTTTGGTTGCGGCAAAGTGACAGGGAGCGCATTAGGCACGTACCGTATACGCTTGCTGGATGACCATTCCTTGCAGGAAGGAGCTGAATGACTGAAATTATTCCTTATACATAAACAGAATCGTAGTCGTATCCCGTCGAAAATTTTAATTACTGCACCATTACACGCACAATTGTGATGCATGGCGTAACGACTTGCCGTGCAGCCGTATGATGCGTTGTTGGCTGTCCAGCGCACTGCCTGGTAAGCCTTCTGAGGCGCGGCCAGACCTGTCTTACCTGTCACATGTGAGGTTTGTTGTACCACGTGTGTGGCACAACAGTGTACGACTCTTCGCCTCAACGACCTGCCTGACCCTCTGCTTGAGTACGGTCTCCATCCGCATCACGATCAGTTGATAAACCCGCGACCTCAGACCCCATGTTTCATAATTCCAAGTTCTTCTGCAGTATTGCTTAGAGCGGGCCTACTGTAATCCTGTGCTGCAGCGCAAGGCACAGTAATTCGGAACACACGACCTGTGCAGGGAACACGGGGGATTAGAAAGGAGGGACTGGAAAGTGGGAAAGGGGTGGGTAGCAAATAGGGCAAGTACTGACCCACCCTTGGCTCACGGCGGGACCTAAAAGCGTGAGCGTGCACCCGGGGGCCCGAGGGTTTCGAAGTACAAGCAGATTTTCACGTGAAAAGGAGGATTATGGATGCGAGGGAGCATTGGACCGTCGATGCGGTGTTGAGCGGGTTGCGAGGCAGCGGCAGCGATGAGGGAGCGATAAAAACGCTGTGGATGTGAGCAAAAGCGGAAGTGCCGTTTTAAAATTCCTAGGGAGACGGGGTACCGAAGGGCGGTGTGACGGAAAGCAGATAGGCGGATAGACAGCTCCGAGGTGGACTGGAGCGTGAAGATCGCCATACCGTGGTTGCTGCTGTCGCGTCATACGACTGAAGCATCGACAAAGCATGTGCGTATGGCAGACTGCTGCTTCCAGTGTTTTGGAGAGGGGGGCCAAGTAAAGAGGGAGCTGCTGGAATATCGCGATTCCGTAACACTGTTGTGTGTGGGGTCGCGCTGTGACAGCGAGGCGCACATAGCAGTTGGTCTCTCTGTGTCCAAACAGTGTCATCCCCTGGTAACCATCGCCATGCCATGGTACTGTACATCGGCAATGTTTTGTCTAAGGAGCTGGGCTGCTGGGGACATGGGTGTTTGTGCAATTTTGCGCATTTATCTTCCACATGCCGGCACGGCCAGAAAGCCACGCATCCCCTCCACTAGCCGTTGCGCCACCTAACCTGCCTCTTAACCCCAGCTTATTGAAACTACAGCAACTCTGCTAAATGCAACACTTCTCCTGCTTCTCTCCAACCTGCTCGCCGCATCCCTCAAAAACAACTCTCATGCAAATGGCAACATAACACTCTCCTCCCCTAGACACAAAGGCACACACACATATATACTTACATACACGGATAATACGCAGGTAAAACGATGCTGCCTTCCTTCCGTGTACTAAAGTACTAGTCCAACCCTCCAACAACGTGTACATGCACCAGCGAAAGCACCTGCAACGTTTCCCTGTCGCTCCAAGCACAACGTTTCCCTATCTCTCCAGCGCCTGCAGTTCAACTCGCTCAACTCACTCTGCCCATGAAGCTTTGACACACAGCTTGCCCCTGGATCCCGCTTGAAAGTCCGGTGACAACCATCCCTCCTGGTGCCGTTATCATCCACCAATATGTCGTGGCAAGATGATGACACGTTCTTGGCAGCATTACCGGCACAGCCACGAGGAATGTAAACCTGCATGCTACCCAGCATGAAGCCCACTGCAAAATCCCCATCCGGCCACCACCCGAAGCTGCCGGCGCCAGCAATATCACACCGCCACCCCACGCGCCGTATATCGCCAGGGGGATGTGCCGCACGCCGCCACACCGCTCGGATGCCGTGTACCACCACAATCGCCGTTACCGCAGGCTCCAGTTACTGAGTGGCTGCCGCTCCCGCCGTCGTGACGCCAGCGTGTACACGACAATAGCACCCGCGGCCAGCCCCAGCTGTGACAGAGCGCTCATCAGCGAACGTCGGGGCGTGGGTGCCGTGTAGCCGGCGGACAAGGGCCGGCCACTCAGCGTTCCACCGCCGTAGAACCGCGGCCGTGGGCGTGCACCTCCGCCTCCGCTCACGCCGTTACCAAGAGAACGCAAGAGAGTGCGTAGAGCTGCGAGGAGGGTTACCAGAGCAGTGAGACGAAGGGTGTGCTACCCAAGAATGCGGGCAGAGACGACGAGGGCTTAAGGGCGGTGTGAATAATGTTAGGACGCGTGGATCGGTAGACGGGGTAGACATGGCTTGATAGGTGTCCAAACTTTGGCAAGAGGATTCGCGGCGGTTCAGGAAACAGAGAACCAACCCCTGCAAGACTTTTAGAGCATTGACAGACCGACGGCAGGTGTACCCCAAAGCGCTGCCACGAGCAGGCAGCGCGGCGGGCTGTGCCGCTGGCGGAAGACACGGCAAGTGAAAGGTGTGTGTGTGTGTGTGTGTTATATCACGACTTTTCGGAAAAGAACCGATCGGTGGATCTCGGGATCCCGTGATAAGCCCTCCAGGATACTACAGTGTGGATCAGACGCGTGCAGACGAGCTGAGGGCGGTGGCAACTGCAGCATCATCGCACGCGCGCAAGAACAAAGGCACAAATGCAACCCGTACACATACGTAAATGCGCGTACCGACGCGTACGCGCACACAAAGGACAGACTCCGCGGAGAGCACCGAGCCCCCTCCCCCCGGCCTTTCCCGTTTCCAGCTTTCCCGGTCAGCTAGTTTAATACTCCTTTTCAGCAGCATTTGCATGCGTTTTTGTATTTTTATTTTTCTTTCGCTGCTCACAACTCTCCCACCTCTCTGCCTTGCATGTGCCTTTGCCCGCTGCTCCTGCTGCCTGGCCAGGTGAGTCCAAAGGGTGGTTCGAGCTTCTTTGGTTTATCGCGTTGGCGTCGGTAGGCTAGCCGGAATAGTTTAGTTGGGTCGGTCGGGTCAGTCGCGCGTTCTAGTTTTTTTTTGGGGGGGTTGGGAGGAGCACTTGCATACCGGCAGCCTTTCAGTATCAGCAATTCAGCCTTCTCTCCTGGCCAGCAACTTTACGCCACTTTTACGTCAGCACTATTTTACTCGCCGCCTTCACTACTATTTTTACACCTACTACTTTACGGATTGGCTATACTATTCAGCTTTTCATTTCTGGCGGCTTAGGTAGGTAGGAGTTCCAACATCTACGTCACTTCGTCATCCCGAGGTTACAGTCGTCACAGTCGCCACGGACGCCTTTCGGTCAGTTTTTACGTTTGCTACTATCTTGCCCTGGCAGCAGCTTCAATCGCGTGTGGTTCGTCTTTTCCCCCGGCCTCTTCCTCCCCGCATGGCATCCAAAGGCTATGTGTTGTGTTCCATTTCCATCATCCACCGCCAGCCCCATCACACCTGGCCGTATAAGATACACATGGGCGATGCCCGCCAGCACGCCGCACATGTGGCCAGCGAAGGACGTGTCGGGCGCCGAAACCAGGTGTGTGAATCCCAGTGACAGCACCCATGAGAAGCGACCGGGCAGCGGCAGGCCCAAACACCTCCTCTCACCCCCCGCACGAGTTTCGTCTGCGACCACCTGTAGGCGCCAAAACGGGGGCCGGGGAGGTGAGATGTGAGACCTGGTGGGGTAGGACAAGTAATCCCCTTGATCATTGTTTCTGCAAGCAAGCAAGGGCCGCGGGTACGTTCTTATAACACTGGATACCCTTTATGCTGTGCTTATACAATCCCAGAGTGCTGCTGCAATCCCTTTCCCCAAAACCATCAGGTTGCGGACTCCGCCAACGCACCCTTCTTATCCCCTTCTTCATCGCCAAAAGGCGATCCCATGCACGGCTGCATGGGCGCTAACCCAGCCTCACAGCCCATAACAGTTCCCACGCCCCTTTCCGCACAGCACTCTGACCCATGACCATCCCACCTGCAAAGCGAACGCCAAAGAGGACAGGCCCACAGCCCCAACTGCGTAGTAGGTGCCGGTTCGCTGTAGTACCTGCTTTTCGAGGACAGCCCAGCCGACTGGGGGTTGAGGACGGCGGGCCGGGGAGCCGGAGCAGACAGTTGACAGTTAAGGCGGGACCGTTACAAGTTGGGGTCAGACGAGGTGGTCTTAAGGACTATGGAGACGGTGACAAGTCAAGCGAACTTCAAAGCATTTCTCTGCCACAGCACGTCCCACTTCCCGATGATGACGATGATGATGACGGTGTTGATGATAATGATGATGATGGTGATGATGATGATGACGCCCCATGCTGCTGATGATGGTGGTGTTGATGGTGATGATGATGATGATGATGATGATGGTGGTGTTGATGATAGTGATGATGACGATGGTAATGATGACGATGATGATGATGGTGGTGTTGATGGTGATGACGATGATGATGATAACGATGATGATGGTGGTGGTGGTGATGGTGGTGATGGTGATGATGATGATGACGCCCCCCCCTCGCGCTTCTCATACATCAAAACCCCTCCCCCTGCTGCTGCTGCTCGCTCACCAAAGAGGCCGCTGGAGAGGGTGGACAGCAAAGCCACATCGGCAATGAAGAGCGCAGAGCCCTCTTGTCGCTCCAGGACAGCCGCATCCGGCAGCAGTGATGCAAGGTTGCTCATCAGGTGGGGCAAGTCCAGGTGTGTCAGGCTGGCGGTCCATAGGCGGCCCACCTCATTGCGGTCAATCACGCAGTAAGGGCTAAGGCAGACCTCGCGCAAGAGCACAGGGTTCAGGTAGCGCCACACAGAGGCGGCGACAAGCGCGAGAGTGACGGGGGGAAGGGGCAGAGAAGGACCGCCGTCCGAGGATGAGGAGCCGGTTGTTGGTTGATGGCGTTGGTGCTCCTGGAGCTCGTTAAAGACTACGTTAGCGAGGCCGAGAATTGTGACGACCATGCGGGGGTCGTCCACATGGGGGGCTGTGAACGGCACGACGGCGGACGAGCCGAAGTTTGACCATCGCAGAGCAGCTAAAGTGCGGTCAACAGGAGGACGCAGAATCTGATTAAGGCGGCTGCTGTCGGTGGGAAAGACAGATGACGTGAACTTATTAACTGTCGCCCCGACTGTGTTCCATGCCTCTTGAGCAGCGGCGCTAATCTGTATGCCTAAGTTGTCAATTGATGTCATTCTATCTGAAGAGGCGTATGATGGCTGTGCGGAATCTACGGTTGTGATTTGATTACACAAAAAAATTAGTCCGCATTTAATTTTACAAAGATTTATAGGTAAGCTTAAGATGTAGGGTTAAATTTAGTGACTGCATCCAAGCAATGCTCTTGCGCTCCGATACCCAACGCTCGCGTTATTCATCGCCCTCATCAATACCCATAACACAAGAAGGCGTATCACAGGCATATATTCGAGACAAATAATTTCCTTTGACCTGGTGGCAAGAAAAATGGTCCACTCAGGAAAGAGCGTAGCTGACGCCCTCCCAACTGGAGTAACTCCAACCCGCAGTTCAAGAATTTTAAGACCAGGGCAAGCTGGGTTTGGCCCATATTTCCGTGTTTTACACAAATATACCCGCTTTTTGTTGCACAATATTGGAGAGTCGGCAGAACTCTTCGCCAAACTGCAGTCGTTATCTTGCTCCTCGACGCAAGGACGTGTTTTGGATTACACTCCAGCGTGTCCAACAAATGTGCTCATGTCGCAATTGAAAATGCCGAGTTATCTCTTGCCAGTTGCGAATCAGTGCCGTACAGGTCATTCCCTTCCAAAACACAATTGCATGCATTGCATGGAGCACGCGCGTGAATGCACCCTAGACAGTAATATTATACATTTCTATAAAGACTAACGCTTTCTCTTGTTGGGTCCTGGCAGCGCTCCCATTTCCGCATTCATGGACACTCGCCGCCGGTTTTAGGACACCCGACAGAGTCAGTGAGTCGCGTCGGAATCAACTCTAGTTAGGCAGATTACTATGACCCAGCAATCGGTCAGTCGCAGCGTCATCTCGTGACGTCAAGTCGCGCAACTGGGTTCAGTTCCCTGCTACTGCACCCACTTCCGCTGATCCGCAAACCACCTGGAATCAGCCACTGAGGAACAACGTCATCAAAGCTGTTTCGGATTTTAAGAGGTTTCAGCGTTAGGGCAGTGTGCGGACTCGCGGCACTTGCGACTGGAGCACATTCCCGACAGTGCCGTCGGCCCTGCCTACGCCATAGCAAAGCTCAATCCTACCGATGAGCAGACGTTGTAGGAATTACTGCGATGATTCGGACAGCGACGTGGACCTGCCGCGCTCGGGCCGCGCGTCGCGTTCAGCAGCTTCGCGCAAGGGAAGCGGCGAATTTGGGATGAAAAATCGAAAGGAACAGAGCAGGCCATGGTCACAGGAGGAATCAGAATGGCTTATTCAGGTTGTATCCAAGACTTCGACCAACCTTGACAACATAAATTGGCAAGATGTTGCCAAGCAGGTACCCGGCCGGACGGGTAAGCAGTGCCGCGAAAAATGGAAGAACGATCTTCGACCAAACATTTGTAAGGAGCCGTGGTCACTCAAGGAGGAGTACGTCCTCGCGGTGGCGCACAGCCTGCATGGAAACAGATGGTCCGAGGTGGCAAAGTATCTACCAACCAGGCCGGAGAACACAATCAAGAACAGATGGTGGGTACTATAAGTCTGCCGTTTGATAATCCGGCTCTGGGTCAGGCCACAGCAGTGGGTGGGTTCTCTATTACGTCTGCCTCATCCTGCATCTCCTTCGTCTATGACCCGGCACACTGAAGATATTACTAGCCTTGCCTTCCTCCGTCTTTACCACTGGCCACTGGGTGATGGCGTGTCCACCGGAGTAATTGCACACGGCATCATTCCCTGACCAATCAACTAATCCCTAGTAATCGCTTATCCCTTACGACTGGTCCCTGATTGAACCCCGCAAAAGGTACGCCACGAACCGCGCCAAGGCAGAAGTTAAGGTTCGCACGTTTTTATGGCTTTACTCGGATCTCGTCGACCGGCAGTCGTACCCTGCGGGCCCCGAGGCTATTGATAAGGCCCGAGAGCTCTATAGGCAGCTTCCCGATGTCGTACCCTTGGAGGAGTTCGAGGTGCCTGTCGACTTTTACATCGCCCGTTCGGAAAGCGGCTGCCCCGCTGCACTGGACACGAGACCTGAGATTAAGATTATTGGGCGAGGCAAAGCCAAGCCGCACGTTCCGGGCGCCACGACGGTTGGGGGAGGAGGAGGAGGAGGAGGAGGAGGAGGCTCCTCCGCCGCCGCAGCCGTTTTGTCGGCTGTGCGGGGGGCTGCCGCCGCTGCGAGTGCCAGCAGGGCAGCGCGTGCCAGCGCCGGCGCCAGCGGCTCCGCGGCCCCTCCCGCTGCATCAGCCACCGCAGCGGCGGCTGTGGCCGTCGCCGTTGCTGCCACTGGCACTGGCGCCAAAGGCAGGAGCGGCGACAGTGGCGGCGGCGGCCACTCAGAGGGCGACGCCAACTGCTACGTCAAGGTCGGCGGCCTTGCTGGCGACCTGCCCACCGTGGGCCCTGTCAAGGTTACTCCTCGGAAAAGGAAGGGGCACGGACTGGCAGACGGATCAGAGCGCGCGACGGCGGCTGGTCACCACCCCGTGCACAAGCTCGTGAAGGCGGAGCCGTTGACAGCGGATGGGCTTGGCGTCGCAGTCGCCGCCGGCGGTGATGCAGTCGCCGCCATCAGCACCCGTACTCGCGGTGCACCTGCGGAGGCAACGCGTTCGCCACCTTTGGCGGGGAGTCACATGGCGCCTAGCGCGCTACCGGTACCGTCGCCGCCGGCGTCAATGACGGCGTCGGCGCCGGTGACAGTCACGACGGGCGCCGGCCGCGGCGGTAGCATCGACGGTACGGCACCCGCCAGCCATGCTGCCCCGACGCTAGATCCTGAGTTTCTATGGCAGACGGCGATTGAGCCGTTCAGCAGCCACGGCAACGGCCTGGGCACCCAGAAAGGTGAGTCGAGTTTGACAGAGGTAACCATTACATGTCCGTGCGTGGTGATGTTGGCTTGGTTGCGTGGCTGTGGTACCTTTGATTGGCTGTTGAAGCTAGGCGATGACAATTTCGTAGCTAGATCTAGACCTGTTACCGCAGTGGCGTGACTAAGCCTTAACGCTTCACTGCCTACGTGCTCCCAGCTACCATCCCACCACTACCTCTACACCCCGAGCCCGATGGGTCTCTTCCTACCTTCTTGGATCGTATGTTGCGGCCTGTCTGCGGTCCAATCTACTTTCCCTACACCCAACATAACCCACCCCAGGTCGCAGGGCAAGTGCAAACCGGCTTGGCAACGGCGCTACCGCCCACATGCACAGCTCCGCTACCAGCGTCGGCATGTACGGCGCTACCTGCGTCGGCGGCGCTACCAACACCGCCGCTACGAGCACCGGCATTGCGCCTGGTAGCGTCGTCATCGTGCATCAGGGCGAGCACGATTCCCTGCATTCAATCTTCGCCTCGAACGCCCGAACGGTGGGATCTGAAGGCGGGGCGTCTTCGGCGGCCGATCTCAATGGGTTATTTCCCGGGTCGTTGAACGGCCTCCTAGAGGACCCGGACGGCCCTGGTGGCGGCAGCGGCGGCGACGCGGACCAGGACCTGCTGGCGTTGACTGACGGACTCGACCTGGCATCGTTGACTGCGCTCATAGGGCCCCACGAGGTGCATGGAGAGGTGGGTTGAGCTGCGGCGGTGGCGGGTCTGGGAGGTGAAAATGTGAAGCTAAGCGGGCTTGGCGGTTAAAGTGGGAAGGTAGATAGCTCGGCAGGCTCGGCACATCTAGTACCGTATTGCCGTGAATGTTTTGATGGCTGATTTCATTAAAAGAAACATTTATTGTTATAAAAATAAACAGACCCCCTGGCGATTTGTGAAAGTTGATGCCCAGGCGTGAAAACCCGTACAGGTGCATTCTTTGAGCCGTTTGCTTAGCAAAATTATTCGGATGATGAGCTGTAGAGTTTTGACAGGACGGGTCTTATAAGGACGTGCAGAATTGCTCTGCGGTGTGCCAGCTGACTAGCTGCGCCAGATGTGATAGGTGGCCAGTTGCAGCGTCTATGGACTTTTTACGCACGCGAAGAAGTCGTAAGAAACCCCTACACGGATTTCTAAAAGTTTTAGTGCATGTAAATAAAGAAAAAGTCCCTTATTATTGTAACAACATTTGCGTATCAAAACATTCGCGGCATTACGGTAGTGAGTGACATGCATGGGCAGAGTCTGAGTGGCTGCTCGGCAATGAGGGAAGCTGGCGCTGAGAGAGTTTTCGTGGAAGGGGGTTCCCGTAGCTGGGTTCCTTCCTGTGGCTGCTGGGGCTATTTTTGGTGCGCCATACAAGATGAAAGAGGAAGTGACGCAGTCTGTACTGCAAATTCCTGAAGCCCCTGCAGATTTCCGTTGTGACCTACGATTGGGTTGTTCTCCTTGCCGATGCCCTTTCATTACCCCGATATATAACGCCTTGTTCTTTCCGTCACCACCACAGGCGACCAGCGACTGTGCTCACGAGGCTATGGCTGGCCTGGCGGCGGATGTGCTGTCGCAGGTACCCGCGGAACCAGTCATGCAGCGCATGGCGCACCACCAGCACCAGCACCAGCAACCTGGCCACCTCCCACAACAGACCGTCACTACCCCGTCTCCTCACGCCCTCGGCCCCAGCAACCTCCAACAAACCCAATTACTTCACCACCACCACCACCACCACCACCATCATCACCAACAACATCCGCATCATCACCAACAACATCCACACCAGCAGCAGCAGCAGCAGCAGCAGAACTCACTCCACTACGGCCAGCAGCACCTGACGCTGCCCATGAGACACGCAGCATCCATGGGGTCGGCGCAACAGCAGGCGCAACAGCAGGCGCAACAGCAACAGCAGCACCAACACCAACGGCAGCTGTCTCAGCAACAGCAGCAACAGCAACACGCGCACCATCATAGCTTGTCGCAAGGCTCATATCCGCTGCACCCACAGCAGCAGCTGATGCAAACACATGAGGGTGCCTGCAGTCCGCCGCAACAGCCGCAGCCGCAGCCGCAGCTGCAGCAGCAACAACAACAGCAGCAACAGCTGCAGTCGATGACCGCTAATGGAGGAGTGGCGCTGTCGCACCAACAACAGCCGCAGCAGACGCAGGGACAAGGCGACGTTTCGAGCCCGCCGTTGCCGCCGCAGCTGCAGCAGCAGCAGCAGCAGCTGCAGCACCCTCTGACAGGCCCTAGCGGTGCGCATGACGTTACTGGTTGTGGCCAATCGTATACGTTTCAACGACGTCTTCCTAGCAGCGCGGTTTCGGCGACGTCGCGGCCTCCGTCGGGATCGGTATCGACACCAACGGCGTCGGCGGCGGTGCAGCAGCAGCAGCCGACGCATCACCCGCTGTCGCAGCACCCCATGTATGGGAGTCCGTCGTACTTGCCGCACCCGCACTCGCACCCGGGGAGCGGCCCGCCAGCCACCCCGGCTCAGATGGTTCACCCCAGCAGCGGTAACGGCGGTCGGCCGATTATTCCCAACGGGCCATCACCATCACCAGTCAAGTACGGCATGACGAGCCCGTACGCTGCGGCGCCGCCGCCGAGTGCGGCGTATGCCGTTTCTGGGCCGCCGCCGCCACCGTACATGATGCCCATGAACATGCGGGGCGGCTACTACAAGATGCCCGGCGGCCGTATGCCGGTGGTGAGCAGTTTAGTGGGAGTGAATAGTGGGGGCTCCAGCGCGTTGCCGTGTTAATGGGCTTGGAAGAAGTGGTAGGCAGGTTAGGAAAGGAGGGCTTAGCTGCGGACGGGGAGGTAGTGGCGCACTTGTACCTGCGTAAGTCGGTATGTATGGAACGGGGGCGGACTTTTCGTATGCGGTTGCGTGCGTATGATAGTGTCTAGCTTCCTCGTTACATGTGGTAAAACGCACGCTCACAGGCTCTCACACACACTCACATGATTAAATGATTTATCATGTCCTCAGGTGGAGTGGAACAGGTGAACACCTCCTACAGGTGCTCGCTGTTTGCAGAGCTCGGTCAGGGTTTTGGTGAAGGAGCTAAACACCCGCAACAATCAAATTAGCCGCACACTGCTGGATTATCTCACCCTAACTCACGACTGCCGACCCAACGCAGCCCGCTCAACACGTCAGCACAGCGCCAGGCTCTTACCTTGCAAGGCTCTATCTTTCTTTTGTTGTTCAAGCACACGTTGGAAAGCTATTCACTGGAATCTTTGCTAACCGCTACTCCTTTTGTTGTATTATTCTTCGCAACCCCGCTCCCTCCGCGCCAAAATCCGCCCTTTCCCCCTTACCCCTTTCCAAAACACAGGGCGTTCTACCACGCGGCATGATGCCGTACCCACCACCATACGGCATGTCCGTATATTCGCACGGCATGCCCTCTGGTTACATGGACTCTCCGCAGCAGCCCGGTATGGTAGGTGGTCCGGGTGGTGACGGTGCCGTCCATCACCCGCAACAGGGTGGGCCCCTAGACCAGTGTAGCCCCGCGGGGGCCAGTGGCCCCACTTCGGGCCCTATGCGCACCAGCGGCGTAATCAGCCAGGGCGGCGGCGGCGCCGGGCCAGGCGGCGCCGGTATGGATTCACTTTCCGCCCTGGGCCCGCTGAGCATGG